AATAATACAACAACAACAGAGCGTGGAAGGAGTAAAAGTATTAAAAGTATTAAAACATTAAAAGTCATAACACTGAGCAGGTTCTGGAAAATGATTCATAGAAACGAGTGGAACCATCACTTTTGTTTCCACCTGTTAAATGAAACCATCACGTGATAACTGATTTAAATGTTGTGAATGATTTCCTCTTCCTGTCCAGATATCCAAACGTCAACATCCACAACTTCACCACCAGCTGGAGGGACGGGATGGCCTTCAACGCCCTCATCCACAAACACAGGCAGGAGCCGAACGGAGCTTTGTCTCACACGATATGTTTCGTTCATGATGTCTGAGGAGCCTCAGACCGAGCGGCTGTAAAATCACCCGACACATAGAGAAATGAATAAATCTGACTTCCTGTTTAAAGTCCACGTTGTGTTTGTTTGTTTTCAGACCCGACCTGATCGACTTCGACAAGCTGAAGAAATCAAACGCTCACCACAACCTGCAGAACGCTTTCAACCTGGCCGAGCAACATCTGGGCCTCACCAAGCTGCTGGACCCCGAGGGTGAGAGACACACACACACACACACACACACACACACACACACACACACACACACACAGTCTATTCTAAATGATAAGTTGTCATTTCATTCTGATGTGTGTGTGTGTGTGTGTGTGTGTGTGTGCGTGTGCGCAGACATCAGCGTGGACCACCCTGATGAAAAGTCCATCATCACGTACGTGGTGACGTATTACCACTACTTCTCTAAGATGAAGGCGCTGAAGGTGGAGGGGAAGAGAATCGGAAAGGTGACAAACAAACGTCTTGTTCTGAACTTAAAGGACGTTTCTGTTATTTTATTTCTATTTCTAACACGCGTGTGCCTGCCGTGTTTTTTCTCCAGGTCCTGGACAACGCCATCGAGACGGAGAAGATGATCGAGAAGTACGAGTCTCTGGCGTCGGACCTTCTGGAGTGGATCGAACAGACCATCATCATCCTCAACAACAGGAAGTTCGCCAACTCTCTGGTGGGCGTCCAGCAGCAGCTTCAGGCCTTCAACACGTATCGCACCGTGGAGAAACCGCCAAAGTCAGTAGAGTTCACGATGACTCCAAACTTACAGCGCCTGAGGTTCAAAGTGTGCTGAGTGTGTGTCTGTTGTGTGTCTGTGTGTGTCTGTGTGTGTGCAGGTTCACAGAGAAAGGAAACCTGGAGGTTCTGCTGTTCACCATCCAGAGTAAGATGAGAGCCAACAACCAGAAGGTTTACACTCCACGAGAGGGAAAACTCATCTCTGACATCAACAAGGTAACGACAGCGCTCGACTGTTTTCAAAGTTATTTATTCTACAAATTCAAATCAAGAGAAAATAATCATCAGTAAAAACAATTCAGAGATAAAGTAAAAGTGTTTTTGAGATAAATGTCGTTAATGTGATGATAAATAAATATCAGTAATAAAAAGTGTCACCTCCACGTTTCTGCTGCCTGATGCTGTGGGTGTGTTTGTTTTAGGCGTGGGAGCGTCTGGAGAAGGCGGAGCACGAGCGCGAGCTGGCTCTGAGGACGGAGCTGATTCGTCAGGAGAAACTGGAGCAGCTCGCCCGACGCTTCGACCGCAAGGCCGCCATGAGGGAGACGTGGCTGAGCGAGAACCAGCGGCTCGTCTCTCAGGTAACACACGTACACAAGGTCGATTCCTCTTCATCAAACGATTCAGGAGTCGACACATTACATTTCTTTTTCGTGCAGATTCTTTTTTCTTCACCATAAATAAAAATGTTTCTCTCTCCTCTCTGTTTCCTTTCAATCTCCTCCCCTTGGTTCCTCTGTCCTCCTCTCCTTGTTTCCTCTGTCCTCTTCCTCCAGGACAACTTTGGACTCGACCTCCAGGCCGTGGAAGCTGCCACTAAGAAACACGAGGCCATAGAGACGGACATTGCAGCGTACGAGGAGCGAGTTCAGGTCGGTTCATCACCCGGAGGTTTTTTAACTCTGGTTTGGTCTTAATTGATCTGAACTCAGATCAGGTGGATTTTATCTCACGATGTAAATACTGAGATTCAAAGTTTAAGAGGAAAATCCTCGATCAGTTTTGTCAGAAACCTCGATCATCACGCTCCTGATCTCATGTTTTCATTCTAAAACGTAAATGAGTCATAAAAACTCAAACTCCTCTGCAGCTTCTGAACAGTCAACAGTTTTTCTGTTTCAGTTCTGAAGAATGAAAACGGTTCATGTTCGTGGTTTCATGAACCATTAACAAGTCTTTCTTGTTTCGTGTGTTTCTCTCCGTCCCGCCCTCCAGGCGGTGGTTTCCGTGGCGAAGGAGCTGGAGGCGGAGAATTACCACGACATCAAACGCATCACGGCGAGGAAGGACAACGTGATCCGGCTGTGGGAATATCTGCTGGAGCTGCTGAAGGACCGACGCCACCGGCTGGAGCTGAACCTGGGTCTGCAGAGAGTGTTCCAGGAGATGCTCTACATCATGGACTGGATGGACGAGATGAAGGTACGCAGGGGGCGTGGCCAAATCAGAAAATAAAATTATAAACTTCTCTAATAAACATTCTGGAACTTTTTATGTTTCCTTTGGATGAATTTAAAATCAGAGGCATTTTCCTGAAAAACAGCAAACACAGTTACGATCATTGTTCCGTCCACATCGTGTTAATATCGGATGTCTTAGTGTGATGGTGTGACCTTTGACCCCGGCCTCTGTCCCCCGGTGCAGATGCTGCTGCTCTCTCAGGATTATGGGAAACATTTGCTGGGTGTCGAGGACCTGCTGCAGAAACACGCTCTGGTGGAGGCCGACATCGGCATCCAGGCCACTCGAGTCAAAAACGTCAACAGCAACGCTCAGAAGTTCGCCAGCGACTCCGAGGGTGAGAGGGACGAGTGGACGAGTGGACGAGTGGACCGGGGACATTGTTGAGTGCGTTCTCTGCGATGAGCGGGACATTAATCGCTTCTCTCCTCCTCAGGTTATAACCCGTGTGACCCACAGATCATCAGGGATCGAGTGGCTCACCTGGAGTTCTGTTACCAGGAGCTGAGTCAGCTGGCGGCTGAACGGCGAGCTCGCCTCGAGGAGTCCCGTCGCCTCTGGAAGTTCTTCTGGGAAATGGCTGAAGAGGTAATTTTTGTAGATTTATTGCTGTTATCAAAAGTCTGCCTGAGGTCGTCTGGTCGTTGGGACGTGATGTCACGAAGGCCTGAATGTGTCTGCGGTCCGTAGGAGGGCTGGATCCGGGAGAAGGAGCAGATCCTGTCCTCCGAGGATTATGGGAAGGATCTGACGGGCGCGCTGAGACTGCTGAGTCAGCACAAAGCCTTCGAAGACGAGATGAGTGGGCGAGCTGCTCATTTACAGCAAACCATCAAACAGGGAGACGAGCTGGTGGCCAACAACCACTTTGGATCCGATAAGATTAAAGAGCGAATCCAGGACGTCCAGGTAAAGAGCTCCGAGAGCGTCACCGCGACATTTGACTCCTTTAACGTACTTCACACACGTCTCCCTTTGATTTAGAATAACGAAATCTCCCTCTGGGTAATTTAGGGAATGAGCTCTCCTCTAAAGAGGTGATGTTTTCATTACTGCACGTTGAACTCAAATCCAGAGTAGATTATAGAAAAGTTCTCTCCTGCTTCATTTGTTTGATTTCATTTGTATAAAACATTCTTGAGTTTCAGGAAAAGTGTTTTTACCTGTAAATGAAGATTCATCATTTCCTTCCTTCCTTCCTTCCTTCCTCCCTTCCTCCCTCTCCTCTGTGCTGCAGGAGCAGTGGGCAGCTCTGGAGCGTCTCTCTGCCGTCCGTAAAGCTCGTCTGCAGGAGGCCTGTAACCAGCATCAGTTCCAGGTGAAAACCGGTTTTCATGGTTTCTATAGAAACTGACTTGACGTCTGTCAAATGCTAGAAAATCAAAAACAGACAAAGTCAAGTCCAGATAGAACCAGTCGTTGTCCTGATCTGCAAAATCAATATTTCAGACTCTAACTCCGTCTTCTGTCCTCAGGCCGATGCTGACGACATCGACACGTGGATGCTGGACGTGCTGCGGATCGTCTCCAGCGTCGACGTCGGCCACGACGAGTTCTCCACCCAGGCTCTGGTAAAGAAACACAAAGACGTTGCCGAGGAGATCGGCAGCTACCGGCCCGTCATCGACGCTCTGCACGAACAGTCCCGCACGCTGCCGCCCGAGAAGGCCGACTCTGAGGAGGTGAGGAGTCTGACTTGAATGGTTCTGTGTCTGTGGAGAAAGTAAAGATCGACCGGACGTCCACTCACTGTGCTGGCCGTTGTTGACGTGCAGGTCCAGAGCCGGCTCGCAGGAATCGAGGAGCGATACAAGGAGGTGGTGGAGCTGACGCGCCTCAGGAAGCAGGCGCTGCAGGACGCTCTGGCGCTCTACAAGATGATGAGTGAAGCCAGCGCCTGCGAGGTGTGGATCGATGAGAAGGAGCAGTGGCTCAACAGCATGGAGATCCCCGAGAAACTGGAGGACCTGGAGGTCGTCCAGCACCGGTGAGAAGCACCAGGGTCCAAACAGACGAGCTTAATAAACCTGACTAACAAAACAACGTATCCCATCATGCATTGCTCTTGCTCTGAATGAAAGAGAAAGACTTTGAAAAGAAATTAAAGTTGCAGCAGAAACTAAATATACGTGTCTGAAGAATATGAAAGTCTAAATTCTTTCTCTGATCTTCTGTGTCTCTGTCCAGGTTCGAGAGTTTGGAGCCGGAGATGAACAACCAGGCGTCCCGGGTCGCCGTGGTGAACCAGATTGCCCGGCAACTGATCCACAGCGGACATCCCAGCGAGAAGGAGATCAAAGCCCAGCAGGACAAACTCAACACCAGGTAATGTAACTGGGATTAAACCAGATTATCACGTCTTTAACCACCTCACTCAGATTAAACTGGTTCAAGAACGTTTCTGCTGTTAAACTAAACCTGAATTAAATGTAACTGGGATTAAACACAATGCGACTGAGCAGCTATGATCTAAACTGGGATTAAAAAGAAAATTAAAAAAAGATTATTAAAGTAGAATAAACAGGAAGTAAACTGGAACCTTAGTGATATTTAAATAAACTTGAATTCAAAAGTAAGTGATCAGTTAACTAATCTAGGATTTAACCAACAGTAGAATAAGTGGACGACCCACCTGCTTCAGTTTCAGTCTGACTTGATATCTGCTGCTGACGGTGTCTCTGTCCGCTCGTCCCTCCGTCCAGATGGAGTCAGTTCAGAGACCTGGTGGACCTGAAGAAGGACAGCCTGAACTCGGCTCTGGGAGTCCAGAACTACCACCTGGAGTGCAACGAGACCAAGTCCTGGATCAAAGAGAAGACCAAGGTTCACGTCCGCTCCTTCAGGGTTTAAATCCCCCCCCACGCTGTGACTGGTGATTGGCCGGTCTGACCCGTCACTTGCTCTCTGTCCTCCTCCAGGTCATCGAGTCCACTCAGGAGCTGGGCAACGACCTGGCCGGCGTCATGGCTCTGCAGAGGAAGCTGACGGGAATGGAGCGCGACCTGGCCGCCATCGAAGACAAGCTGGGAGACCTGGGAAAGGAAGCGGAGCGTTTGGCCTCCGAACACACGGAGCAGTCGGACGGCATCAAGGGACGTCTTGCTGAAATCAGAGACGTCTGGGACGAGATGAAGGTGAGACGATCTGTCATCATGTCGGATCAGAAGAACCCAAGAACATCCCAGTTCTTCCACACCAGGACTTTAAGAGTGTTTCAACACACACTGAGCAGAAACACGAGATAACGATCTGATCAAATCTGTTTCCAGGACACCATGAAGAACCGGGAGGAGTCTCTGGGCGAGGCCAGCAAGCTGCAGCAGTTCCTGCGCGAGCTGGACGACTTCCAGTCGTGGCTGTCGAAGACGCAGACGGCCATCGCCTCCGAGGACATGCCCAACACGCTGACCGAGGCCGAGAAGCTGCTGACCCAGCACGAGGGCATCAAGAACGAGATCCGCAACTACGAGGAAGACTACCAGAAGATGAGGGACATGGGCGAGATGGTGACGCAGGGCCAGACGGACGCGCAGTACATGTTCCTGCGGCAGCGGCTGCAGGCGCTCGACACCGGCTGGAACGAGCTGCACAAGATGTGGGAGAACCGACAGAACCTGCTGTCTCAGTCGCACGCTTATCAGCTGTTCCTCAGGGACACCAAGCAGGCCGAGGCCTTCCTCAACAACCAGGTAAACCTCAGAGCTCAGGACTGGGACACCTGCAGCGTCTCACCCACTGTGACGTCCAGAGTTTCAGTCTTTTGTTTGCAGTCAGAAAATCCCAGTTTGGGTAAAACATGATGCCCTGGTGCATGCTGGGAGAGGCTCCAATCCCACCTGCTCATCGAGCTGCAACAGGAACGAGCAGAACGTTTGTTGCAGAGGATTTTCTGGTGTTTTGTGAATATGAACGTTTGAACATCGTCAGGCAAGATAAGAGCCTGTCAGACGCTGCCACCGTGTGGTGCAACCTGTTCATTACAACAGTTTAACGACAAGCTTCTGTATTTTTCAAATCCGTCATTACGAGAAAAAAAGAAGTTTGTCACAGATAAACAGGAAGTGAAATCCTCTGATGTGAATCTACAAACCTGTGAATTCTCTCAAACCTTCATCCAGGTTTTGTTTTAAAAAAATCCAAGAATGTTCGTTGAGTGTGTGAACGAGCGTCTCCTCTGTGCTCCTCTCTGCAGGAGTACGTCCTGGCTCACACTGAGATGCCCACCACTCTGGAGGGCGCCGAGGCCGCAATCAAGAAGCAGGAGGACTTCATGACCACCTTGGACGCCAACGAGGAGAAGATCAGCGGTGTGGTCGACACCGGCCGCCGCCTTGTAGCTGACGGAAACATCAACGCCGAGCGCATCCAGGAGAAGGTGGATTCCATCGACCAGAGGTCAGATACTGGTGGTTGGAACTTGTTCACTGAGGGTTTAAAAGTTAAATCTCTGGACTAAACTAATCCAGCTTCACTCCTGTAGAGAGACGTTCATCAGATCAGCTGCTCTGTGACTCAAAACATTTATTTTCTGTGGAAATAGAAAAAATGTTCCTGAACCCACTGATTTCTTTTCTCCAGGCACAAGAAGAACCGAGCGGCTGCCAGTGACCTGCTGATGAGGCTGAAGGACAACAGAGACCTGCAGAAGTTCCTGCAGGACTGTCAGGAGGTAAAACAGATGATAGTGTTAAAAACAACTTCAGTCCCACTCGTGGTTATAAGATGAGCTAATCCTCTGCGTCTCCAGCTGTCCCTGTGGATCAACGAGAAGATGCTGACGGCCCAGGACATGTCGTACGACGAGGCCAGGAACCTGCACAGCAAGTGGCTGAAGCACCAGGCCTTCATGGCCGAGCTGCAGTCCAACAAGGAGTGGCTGGATAAGATCCAGAAGGTAGGAGGCGAGGAGACGAGGAGACAAGGAGACAGGGAGTGAAATGTTCTCTCTGCCACATTTCCTAAAAAAGGAAGCTTCAATGATTTGACAGACAAACGCACGAAGAAGCTTTAAAGTTTCATAGATATGAAAGTGATGATTATATTTTATTACTTCACTTTCAGGACGGGCAGACGCTGATGTCGGAGAAACCAGAGACGGAGGTGATGGTCAAAGAGAAGCTGGCGTCCCTGAAGACGATGTGGGACGACCTGGAGTCGACCACCCAGACCAAGGCCAAGTGTCTGTTCGACGCCAACAAGGCCGAGCTGTTCACCCAGAGCTGCGCCGACCTGGACAAGTGGCTGGGCTGCCTGGACGGACAGCTGCAGTCCGACGACTACGGCAAAGACCTGACGTCCGTCAACATCCTGCTGAAGAAGCAGCAGGTGAGGAGGAGCGTTAACGTAGATGTGGGGAGGAGCGTTAACGTAGATGTGAGGAGGAGCGTTAACGTAGATGTTAACGTAGATGTGAGGAGGAGCGTTAATGTAGATGTGAGGAGGAGCGTTTATAACTATGAAGAGTCTAACCTGTGACCTCCTGCAGATCCTGGAGAGCCAGGTGGATGTGCGTCAGAAGGAGGTGGAGGAGCTGCAGGGTCAGTCGCAGGCTCTCAGCCAGGAGGGGAAAGGCTCCGAGGAGGTGGACGGACAGAGGATCAGCGTGGAGAAGAAGTTCAACTCGCTTCAGGCGCCGCTGAAGAAGAGACGAGACAACCTGATGGCGTCCAGGGAGATTCACCAGTTCAACAGGGACGTGGAGGACGAGATCGTGAGTAGAGACACCGATGAAGGGAGCTAAGTTAGAAAAGTGAGAGAGAAGGAGAAGAAGAAAATAAAAGGTTGAAATAAATACTGTGTCTCCAGCTCTGGGTGGAGGAGAGGATGGCTCTCGCCACGTCCACCGACCACGGACACAACCTGCAGACTGTGCAGCTGCTGATCAAGAAGAACCAGGTACACACACACACACACACACAC